CACATGCAAATTGGCAGTTGGGCGACTGGTGTCTTCTTCCCTCATCATTCTCCTCTGGCTTGACTAAGGAATCATCACGAACACATCGTTCTGATTCAGTGAACAACTCATTAGATTCCACACAACCGGAGGGTGTGTGTGATTCTGAGGATGTTGTGTTAAATGAATTAAGTGGGACAACTGAATCCACTGATCTTGATTCCCTTAGTGCATGTGATGGAAATTATAGGTATCCTGAATGTAATATTTTGCCTGAATCTAGTAATTCTAGAGCTCTCAAGGAGACTACCCATGAGACTTGGCCTCTACATCGCAAAAAAATTCGTAAAGTTGTCATCAGGAGAGATAAGAAGGCTAGAAAGAAAGAGGAAAACTTTGAGAGGGCCCTTCTAATTATCAATACTAAGACAAAAGTTGATGTTGCATGGCAGGATGGCCGGACAGAACGTGGACTGGATTCAACAACCTTGATTCCAATTGATAATCCAGGTGATCATGAATTTGTTCCGGAACAGTATGTGGTTGAGAAGGCCTCCGATAATGATGATGATATTAGTGAAAGCAGGCGGGTTGGAGTTGTGAAAAGTGTTCATGCAAAGGAGCGCACAGCCTGTGTAATGTGGTTAAAACCAGTCTCCAGGGCAGAGGATCCTCGAGAATTTGACATACAAGAAATTGTTAGTGTGTATGAACTAGAGGGGCATCCAGATTATGACTACTGTTATGGTGATGTGGTTGTTCGATTGTCCCCTGTTTCTGATTCTATAGAATCGATGTCTTTGGGTAACGATACAGAGGAATTAAAGCAGCAAAGTTCAACAAATGAGATGATGAATTGTACAGAAAAGGCTTCAGGAAGCCAGAAAATAGAAGATCCCTCATGTAGTGATGATTGCATTGACTTCTCAGATCTCTCCTGGGTTGGAAATATAACTGGTCTCAAGAATGGTGATATTGAAGTTACTTGGGCTAATGGCATNGTTTCAACGGTATTTTTTTTTTTTTTTTTTTTTTTTTTTTTTTTTTTTTTTTTTTTTTTTTAAATGATGCTTGGTTAGTCTTGAACGTAGACAATGAGACCAACTGGTTTATGATCTTCTTCTAAAAGGAAGCATGCGTTATAATTGAAATTGAACAAAATTGTTATAATGATCAGGATTAGGAAAGATTATTCTTGTATTTTCATAGGAGTTATTTTTAAGTGTCATATCCACTTGGCTTTTAAGTTTCATTGGGTTGCAATTTATATTAGTTGGTACCTTGTTGGATTCTATGATTCTCTTTCGGTTCGATGACGAGACCTTTTTGTAATTATTTGCTAGGTTTTATTTTACTGGATTAAGACCGCTTTATGCAGTTTATAGTTTGGCTCCTCTTTTGTGGGCTTCTTTTTCGTATGCCTATGTATCCTCTTTTTTTCTTTTTTCTCGATGAAAGTTTGGTTTCTCATTTATGAAAAATCAAATTGATCTGGAAATATTAAAAGTGTTGTTGTTGTTGTTTTTTTTTTTTTTTCCTGTTTGCTTTGTCTTGATGATGGAGGCTATGATCTAATACTTGTACGTGGTAACTGATTTAGTTTTGAATGGTTTTCACTTTTCTCACTCCCAGAGTTTAGAACTTAAATGCGAGAAGTGTTTGTTGTTTTACTAAGGTTGGCCCTCAAGCAATTTATGTTGTCGGTCGAGATGATGATGATGAATCTATTGCTGCTGGGAGTGAAGTAAGTAATGGTGCTGCAAGTTGGGAAACAGTTGATGATGATGAAAGGGATTCTGTTGATAATGCTAAGGAGGTAATATTCTTTTGAACCACTAAAGTTGGTGTACCTCGTATATACTTAGTTTGTCGATTTGCTTTTGCTTGTAACATTGTTACCGACAATTCTTAGAATAATTATGCCTGATATGTATTAAGGTATCTCTTTCTAAGAAAATAATGATCCACGTCAATGTCTCTAGGATATCGAGCTGCAAGATCCTGGTGTGAATTCTGAAGAGGAAGGAAGTGAACAGAATAATTCAGGAAGAAATCTAGCTCTTTCTGTTCCGTTTGCTGCAATTCGATTTTTTACTAGATTGGCTGCTGGAATATTCTCACGAGGACCAAGAAATCCAGAATCAATGGATGTGGATTCCCACAGTGAAAGTGAAACTCAATCCTTGGAAATTCAAGCTTTAGAGGAAAAAGATTCTGGGCTTCATTCTAGCTCTCTTAAATCCAATTCTTTTGATGCTTCTGATATGAACTCTGATTGTGGAAGAGGAGAGGATAATATTGCTTCAGAGCCATCAGAAGTGTCGGAATCGGCAGACGCTTCAAGCAACCTGAGGACTGCAGAATCAGATGGTTCAGCATGCCATGAGGATGGCACCTGCAGCTTCAAAGGGTTTGATATAGCTAAAGATCCTTTGGACCATTATTTCCTTGGTACAAATGGACAAGTAAGTAATTAACAAAATTCTCCAAACCTTCGCGTGGTTTTTGTTTTAGTATATTCTTTCTGTTCATCAATACTTGGATGTTTACTTGAAAGATTCTCGCACAAGTTTGAATGATTGATTGAACATTGTTGCACACAGACTAATAATGGAAGGAAATGGCTCAAGAAAATCCAGCAAGATTGGAGTATCCTCCAGAACAATTTGCCAGGTAAACAATGCTTACCTTTGCTTGATTATGTGATTATGCATGTCTCCTGTGATTGACATTCATGTATCTGTTAGCTGGCTTCGATTTTGAACCTCGAATGAATTCTTGTAACAGATGGGATATACGTTCGAGTCTACGAAGACCGTATGGACCTCTTAAGAGCAGTCATTGTTGGGGCTTACGGGACTCCGTACCAAGATGGCCTCTTCTTCTTCGATTTTCACCTCCCACCAGAGTATCCCGACGTTCCACCAGTAAGCAGTCCTTGCCTTTTAATCATTCTACCTGGGTTATGTACTTTATATATATATAGTTCACTGATGGAGCTTGTTACGATGCAGTCAGCGTATTATCATTCAGGTGGGTGGCGTATAAATCCGAATCTTTACGAGGAAGGCAAAGTCTGCCTTAGCCTTTTAAATACTTGGACTGGTAGAGGAAATGAAGTGTGGGATTCAAAGTCCTCTAGCATCCTTCAAGTGTTGGTCTCGCTTCAGGGATTAGTGTTGAATTCTAAACCATACTTTAATGAAGCTGGATATGACAAGCAAATTGGAACAGCAGAAGGAGAGAAAAATTCCTTGTCGTACAATGAAAACACTTTCTTATTAAACTGCAAGACAATAATGTATCTTATGAGGAAGCCTCCCAAGGTGGGTAATCATTTTATTATTATTATTCATTGGTGATGGAATTACTGGTAGTGACTACGTGAAGTTTGTTCATGAATAGGACTTTGAAGAACTGGTTAAAGAACATTTCAGGAGGCGTGGATATTTCATCCTGAAGGCCTGTGATGCATACATGAAAGGTCACTTAATTGGCTCGCTTACGGAAGATGCCTCTATAAGAGAGAACAGCGATCCCAACTCGACGTCGGTCGGCTTTAAGCTTATGCTTGCTAAGATCGTTCCAAAGCTCGTGTCATCGTTGAACGAAGTTGGAGCTGATTGTGATGATTTTAAGCATTTTCAACAGTTGTAGCATTAAAGAAAAGGAAACTCCAATTACATATAGTTGACAAGGTAAATCTTTCCTTCAATTCATTCCTGATTCATGTCAAAGCCTTTTCTCTCTTTACGCATTATGATCAATTATGCAACCTTGTTCATAAGTGTTCTTAAGTGGGGCCTCATGTCTTTGAAAAGCTTCAAAGAATTCTAGGAGCTGGGTTTTAGGGACAACTCTTTTGGTCTCTGTCATCATTTATTTTCTTTTAAAAAGGAATGTTAGTTTTTGAACTTGTTCTGCCTGGCTGCTTGTATGTGCCTAAAATGGACTTCATTGAAGTGTTGATCAAAGAAGAGTAAAAAAGTATGATATTTTTATGAGGCATTTTCTTTGGACTTCCAACGTATTACAATCGTTTTTCTTCAAAAGTTCATCAGATTCGTAGATTTAGGTCTTCGTTAGACTCACCCGTTAAACGTGATTTGATATGTTGTTTCGAGAAGCAAGTTCGGTAATCAATCCTTCTTATTTTGGTCAATTGTCTAGCTCTTTTTGCTATTTGGGTATCTAATACAAATTATGTCAAAGTTAATAACAAATTCGTTGGGTTATGAAGTTTGTTGCTTATTTATAACTATATAGTCATTTACATTTCTTCTAACGATATAGTAAATAAATAAATATGCCAAGAATGTGTATAAAAAAAAAAATACTTATTTACATCTTATTCTTAATGTTATTATTTTTAGGTTAAATAAATAAAAATATCTTTAAACATCATAATTGTCTAAAAAAAATATTATACTTTCAAACTTTAGCAATATTATTTTACTTTTATATATATATATATATATTCTTGGATGAAAATTGTTAGTATTTTATTTAAAAATACCTTTGAGCTTTCAATATTGTTTCAAACTTTTAAGGTATTAACCAAATTTATGAGTATTTTTAGAATTATTTTTAAAAAATTTAAAGGTATTTTTGATATTTTAAAAAAACTTTAAGGTATTAACCAAACTTATGAAAAACTTAAAAAGGGTATTTCTTAAAGTTAAATGATATTTTTAAAAATACCCTTTAAAAATTAGGATATTTTAAAACAAAGTATTAAGTATTTATATTTTTAAAGTTAAATGATATTTTTAAAAATACCCTGTATTAAGTATTTATATTCGTAAGATTATTTTTTTAATTTTTTTTTTAAATTAAAAAAAGTATTTTTTAGATTTTTTTAAAGTTAAATGTTATTATTGAAACTTTTACTTCTTATTATAATATTTAGAAAATTTTTAACTTTTTTTTTATGACAAAAAAGAAAAAAAAAAAAAAAAAAAGGAGGAGGATTCAGATGGCTGCAAAGACCGGCCGCCGGCTATGAAAGAAAATAAAGCTAAGTGATGGATTTTGGTATTTTAATGTTCATCACCGGCAAGAAATTAAGTTGGTATAAATCATCGTTGGAAAATCCGTTTCAAGAAAAGCATCGTCGGAGAAAAATCTTAACTAATCGTGGTGTCAATCGGGGAAAGGACTCGTCGTCGAACGCCGTTGGAGCTCGCCAGAAAGCTTCAGTAAGTTTAGGGCTCTGTTTTTTCTCTCTGTTTCCAGCCGAATACCTCTGGTAGGTCGCCACCTCCTTCACCTCAGATTCGCCTCATTGTTTACAATGCCTTGAATGAGCAGTCATGGCCGAGCCTTGAATCATGTCGCCGGAAGAACTAAAAATCCAGAAAATCAGAGGTAAGCGCAGTTCAGTCGGACCGATTCGGTTCAATTCGATGTGTTCAATCTGTTTCTTTTCGTTCTTTTGAGGCGATTTCAACTCTACCAACAAGCTCCTATCATAAGGTTCATAGAATTCAATCTGTTGTAAGGAAAAAGATGATCGGATCTTTGCAAGTACAGTGAAATCAAATGAATACGAAGTGGAAGAACTGAGAGTTGGATTTTTTTAAATTTATTTGGTATTTTGACAAGATGAACAGAAACATCTACTCTGAATGTGTCTTATAATCAACACAACTGTTCTTTCTTGGAAAAAAAAAATTCTAGAAAGAAGGTAGAAAATGGATCACAATACTCTGTTCATCGCGAGAAGAAGCAAAGCCATGAAAGATTAACTCGCCGATCCAACATACTTGAAAGATGATTACGAAGAAGAAATGAGATGGATTCAGTTCCTTAACCACTTCTCATAATCCCTCGCCTCGCCAGCATCCTCGCAATCGGCGGCGTCAGCCCAATCGTTATCGGAATCCGAATAGGCAGCAATGCCTTGTTGCAAAGAACGGCCAAAGCCAACGCGCCGCCAGTCGACGCCGCAAGCTCTGCAGTACGATTCCTCGTCCTCGGCTCCTGCGCCACCGTCGATTGAATATCCGACGCAGGACTTTCTTCGATCACTAGTCCATCATCGGGACTAGTCTGCGACTGATCTTTGGAAGAGAATCCATCCATGTGTAACTTATCGAGTAGCGATTCAACATCCACATTGTTCTTGATGGCGACATAGAGGCCAGTGATCGAAGCCGCCGACACTGAGAAATGAACTCCGATTGCGACCTTCCCGTACTTCTTGAGAAGCTCGCGGAATCGGCCGCCGCCGGTGAAGAAAGCCATTGATGAAAGAGAAGAGAAAAGGTCCGGGAAGGGGAGGCAGCGCGTCGGAGCTTGGCGGTGGAGGGTGGAGGCTAGGGTTTCGAAGTACTTAGGTTACTTACGAAGGCGGCGTTTTTCTGAGAGAATATCAATACGACAGCGTTTTGAGATTATTGAAAAGTCAACAGATTCAACGCAAGTACAGCCCATGTCCTGAGACGTAGCTAACGGGCCGAAAACCCATCGGTTCGACCCGAATAAAATATGCCTTTTCTATATTATGCTATTCTTGAGGGGTTAAAATGCAAATTCGGTAAAGTTTCTATTTAGCTCCTAAGATTTTTTAGAGTTTCATCGATTATTTGGATTCTTATAATTTAAATACAAGGATAATTTAATTTTTTGAGTGCTGGGAAATAGAAAATTAAGATCTAAAACGGACTTAAAGATGACTTAAAATAGTGTGACAGTTACTCGTTTTAGATGGATTTCGTCTAATATTTTAATGGATTTCTATTCCATCGATAGTTTTGAAATATTTATGAAAATGTCGAGGGTAATATTGTATGTGACTGAAGGAACGAACGAGATTTCTCCCTCTCCAACTTGACTAGAATCAAAGAGGGTCAGCCTGTGATCATAGCTCGATATCTATTCCTATGTCTTCTAACTCTCTAGTAGCTTTCCTAGCTACCAGAGATCTGCTTGTCTCGGCTTCGAAAGACGCGTTGGTCAAACAAGTGAATTTTTAAATAGCCAACAAAAAAAAAAAAAAAAGG